GGTGCTGAGGTTAATGCAATGGACTGCAAGGTTAGTTTGAATCGCACGGTCAGTGGTTCAAGCTTACCAGTCGCTTCTTGGAAACACTATATACAACAGGGTCACTAGGAGTCAGACCAATTCGATGACACTTAAAAACACAGGTCTCCAAAGGGACTGAGCCAGCCCTCTCCTCAGAAGTGCCCCAAACCAGCTCTGCCTCAAGCCCAAAGAAACATACCAAATGACAGGCCCATCAGTCCTGTTCTTACCAAGCCCCACTACTCACCAGAGCTGGCCCCTGGAACTGACTACACACCCACTACTGTGTCCAGGCCACTTTCTCTTCCTTCTGAAGCTTAGAGCCCGAGTTCCTAAGCAAATGTCAGTCTTAGAAAAGGCAGCTTCCTCCTGAATGACAAGAGTCCTTCCCAATTTTGCTGCTTCCTACAGAGTCCTGGTGTGGTGCTGTGGGATAATGCGCACAAAGCCATTTGAACTGCAAAGTCAGTAGTTCAAGCCTTGGAAATCCTATACAGGGTTGCTGTGGGTCGGAACCGACCTGACAGCACTTAACAACAACCTCTAGTATTTCCCAACAGCCAGAGCTTCTTAGAACTAATCAGACCTATCCACTGCTGAGCACTGACGAATGGGAAATCACACCCAAGACCTCCCATTAGCCTGAACAGAATGACCACCACTGCACTGGGGCTTCATCAGAGACAGGGAACCTCAACCCAAGGAGAACAAATATGTTTGCTGGGGGAAAATAAGGCTCCAGTTGTTAAATAGGGGCCTAAATATATTTTTGGAGTCCTGGTATGACACTGTAGGACAGGAACTGGACTACTAACCACAAGGTAGGTGGTTCAAACCCACCAGCCACTCTTGGAACCCCTATACAAGGTCAGAATGAACTGGAGATGACTTGATGTCACTTAACAACAACATACATTTTTTTGAGGCAGCGACTTCATGTTCAGGGATTTATTCTGCAGCTACCTCTAAGGTGAGCAAAAAAGTCTATGTATGAAGATAAGTCACTTCTACTTTGTTTAGGAAGCAAAAGACAAAAATAACCTAAATGTTCATCAATAGAGGGGACTTGTTGGATAAATTACACACATGATGGTAAGCAATGTAACTCCAAAATGACCTAGATGTGCATGTGCCAATGTGGAACCATCTTTAAGTAAATCAAAGACTGCAAGGTGTTCCTTTTCCTTCTTGGCTCCTGATCAGAGGCCAGGAGGATGTCCAGGGCTGCTGTGGGCCTTGGGCCACTTCCCAGGCCACAGACTCACCTGTCTGTTCTATCTTCTGTATGCCACAGACCCAAGTACCAATCAGTAAAAATCTCCCAAATCCCAAAAGGCCTGTTTGAAGCCCTGCCCAACACACACACCCCTCTCTATAACCCAATCAGATTCAGGCACAGTTCTGTGGTGCAGGATGGGAGCAGGGAGATAAGGGCACTTTGGCAGTTCCTCTATTATTCCAGATGGCTCTGATCTCCAGTCCAAAAGAGAACTAAGACCTGGGATCCATGAGTAAATCCAATGTCAAAGTCTCTTTATAATGAGCTCTCCAGGGAGCACTGGAGAGCTAGTTTTCCCCTGAAAGTACAGTGTATGCTGTTCCCACACTGAAAGGCTGCTTTTTGGAACCATTTGAGTTTTGCAGACTCAACAGCTTGAGTTTCTGAAAAACTGAAGAAATTCATCTCTCTGGCTAAAATGTGGCCAGAGAAAAGGTGAAGCAAGAGAAGCTGCCTTTCCCCCAAGTGCTGATTCAGGCAAAGTCAGAAGGGAAGCCGGGCCCAAAGCTGGACAAGGCTTGGCAAGGCTTTGCAACTGATCCTCTCTCAAGAGAGCATGCTCAATCTTCTTTACGGAGCTGGTAGATTTCACTGGCCATTATCTTCACCCCATGCCATCTTACTCTGGCACCCAAACTAGGAAGCTCAGGGCCACCTGCCACTGCTCCTTCTCGATCAGCTGTCACTTCCAAACTCTCCCAGAGTCCCTCCATTCTTCCTTTTCATTCTACCTACTCTGCCCAGACCCAGGCACCATTAGCTCCTGCTTTGATATGCAGGAACTCCACACTCCCTGATCCACCCTGCACCCCAGCCAGAAGGCTATTTGGAATGGGGGTGTTTCCACCACTTCAAACAAGGCATCCCATCACCAACAGAATACAAAAGTTCACTAGTGCCTGCCTACCTTTCTGCATGTCCTATAGCCAGGCCCCTTCATACCCTGTGCAGGAGCCCCATGCAGATTCCCAGTGCTCCCCATGTGTCAGAATGCATCCATGCCTTGCCAAGCTGTTCCTGGCCTCAAGTGCTCCATAAAGCCCCAGAAACTCCATCCACCCTTCGAGGTCCAACTCTACGGGCTCCTGGAGGTCCTCCTCCCCCTCCTCCTCCCCAAGGTGAATCACTCCTTCCTCTGCAGTCTTCTGTGAGTAACTCTTAGCTCTGTGCCAGCGTTAGTGGGTTAGGAGCCTATCCCAGCTAAACCTCAAGCTCCTCCAGAACAGGGCCAGCCACTCATGTGAGTCAAGTGTGTGGACCTGGAGTTCTGCATTCTGAGCACTCCAAACATCAATGAGCGTGATTATCTTCTGATACTCTTTCACTCGGGTTGCTCTTAAGGGCACACACTGAAGATATTCTAGATGCATTTTCTTCCACGTTTACTTTAAAATACTATTTTTCTCAGAAGTCCTATTTCTAATTTTTTGTTTTTTTAAATCGTTCTTAAAAAGAGTCGAGTTAAATCATCTGCATGGCTCCCAAACTGACTGGGGAAACTCCCTATAGATTTCCTTTTCAGAAAGAAGCTAATAAAATTCCGTGAGCTTGTGGTCCGTCAGGGCATCTCTGACAGCTCAGTGGGACACAGTTACAGTCGCCGCTTATTGCTTCTAGTAGTTCTTTCCTACAGTCTGTAATAACAGCTAACCTTTAACAAATACTTATTACTGGTGTGTACTAACTGCTCAGTCTACAATATTGGACTCACTCCTCACCAACAGTCTTATTTGTTGTTGTTGTTGTTAAGTACCATGGAGTTGGTTCTGACTCATCATAGTGACCCTGCACAAGGTTTCCGAGGCTGCAAATCTTTACTGGAGCAGAAAGCCTCACCTTTCCCCTGTGGAACAGCTGGTAGTTTTGAACTGCTGACCTTGAGGTTAGCAGCCCGATTCGTAACCAGTACGCTATCAGAGCTCCTTACAGCCTTATTAGTGACTCTCATTATCCCCATTTTACAGATGGGAAAGCCAGCCATGGAAAGATTAAGTAACCTTTATGGACTGGCTGGGCTAGGATTAGAACTCAGATCAGTCTGATTCCAGACCAAATAAGCTCCTAACCATTAATACCTTTAGCCTTCCCAAAACTTCACATGAAAGGCACAGTGGGCAAATGCTGCCCTCTTCCCCAGGTCCCTGAGAAGGCAGCCTCACTTCCCAGTTGTTCAAGCAACCTGCCTCCCAGGAAGAGAGGGGCACAAGCCAGGCAGAGGGCCAGGTCAATGCAGGGAGCTTCTCATCTGCATCCGTGTGTCCTCAGCCCAGCACCAACTCTCCTCTCAGGGGCTGCAGTGGGCTCTGAACAGGTCCTCTCAGAGCCCTCGGGTCTCTTCTCTCCCCTGCCTTCCCTCCTCAGCTGGGACTCCAGGAAGATTTTCTAATACAAGAATCCAATCATATTACAACTCTGTGCAAAACTTTTACTTGTTCTTCACTGCTCTCGGCATTAAGTCCCAAACTACTAACATGTAATTCTCATGTCCACACTGAGCAATTTGAGGCTTCTGAAATAAACTGTGTTTCATTTGTCTCTCTCTTGCTCCAAGCAGAACACCTTGCTCCTTCCTTCTCAACTGGCCACACCTTTCAGATTGTTCCAGCCTATTTCTGTCAAGCCTTCCCAGTACCTTCACCCACTCCCAAGATGTACCAGCAGCTTCCTTCATTGGATTCCCAAAGCCTTCTGCTATTAACCGCTTTTTTGTGCCACATTTCAATAATTTGTTTATAAATCAATCTCTCTTTACTATATCATGAGCTCCTTGAAATAAGAATAGCTAACATTTTGTTGTTAAGTACCATGGAGTCAGTTCTGACTCATAGTGACCATGCACAGGGTTTCTGAGACTGTAAATCTTTACGGGAGCAGAACGCCTCATCTTTCTCCCGCAGAACCACTGGTAATTTTGAACTGCTGACCTTGAGGTTGGCAGCCCAACTCTTAACCACTATGCTACCAGAGCTCCTTAATCTAACATTTACTGAATTCTTATTATGTGGCAGACACTATCCTGTGTTTTATATGTATTAGCATTTTATATCTTCCTAACAGCTGTTATCGCTTCATTTTATAGATGAGGATATTCTCAGAGAGGTTGAGCAATGTGCCCAAGGCCACACAGCTACAAAGTTGCTGAACCAAAATTTGAATTCATAGTCTGGTCCAAAGCTTACTTTTCACCACTACGGTATACAGTACTTGTCTTTACAGGCAATGACTCCGTTGTCATGAGGGGGATGAATGAATGAATGGGAGTATGGATGAATGAGGACTTCTTTCAGAATGTCCAAACTGAAACCACAAACAAAGGCACAGCAGGGTCCTTATGGAGCTCTGGAAAAATTCACAAGTACTGTTTACATACAAAAATTCCTTGGGAACTACAATTACATTTACCATGACTTCGAGTCTGCCACACATTTGGCTCTTCCTTATCTCATGCAAAACAACTCAGTCAACAGGGAAACGCGCCCAGCCCAGCGTGACTACCCTCTTCCCCATGGTTCTCAAAGAAGCAAAGCCAACCGGTTTCCTCCCATGACTTAAAACAGAGCAAAGTCTACTCTACCACAGAAAACGGCTGTCATCTCTTCCTTCCGCCAACAAAGGGACATTAAACCTGGAGAGTGGGGGTGGCCAGAGAACGCGATGATGGGAATCGGAATGCCCGATACCTACGGGGTGGAAGGTGGGGCTAAGTGGCGTGGGAACAGGCGGGCCTGACCCCGGCACAGCAGGTGAAACACTGACCACAGCGGGCTTTCTCCTTGGCATAAGCCAGCCAAATGTAGCGCTTACAGGCAGGCAGCTCGGCTTGGCACCTGAACACCCCGCAGCCCGGGATGCAAAAATTCCCCCGCAGCGAGGGTGTTCGAGCTCGGAGGGAGCCCTAGCCCTCCCTAAGGATTCTTTCTAAGTTTCAAGTCATTCTTGGAATCTGGATGGAAGCATGGAGAGGCAGGAGGTGTCTCGTGGGAAAAACCAGGCTAGGCTCAAACGCCGGTTCCTTCACTTACTGGCTGAGTGACTGTGGGCAGGGCAGGCAGTGCCCATCTCCCAGGCTACGGACCAAGGCTCTCCACAGCCCCTGTCGTCCATGAAGGGCAGACCCCCATCTGAGTGGGGGCGTGCTCTGTGGCCATTTCTGTTGCACCTGGATGGCCCCGGTCGGTCAGCTGGGTCCAACTGCCACGGCTACTGAGGCCCGCCCCGCCAACCTCCGCCCGGCCACCCGCCCCGCGACCCCCGCCCTCACCTTCCCCCGGTGCTCAGCGCTGCTCGCCCATAGTCCTTAGCCCGGAGCCAGGGCTGCTCGGCACTCCGTGCCGGGGGGCCGGGGCCGGGCCGGGGGCGTGGGAGCTGCTCACCGCCGCCTCCCAGCGCAGCCGCCCGAGCCGCCGCCGCCGCCGCCGCATCCCTCCATGGCTGCGGCGCCGCCACCTGACAACGGAAGTGACGCACCGCCACCCTCCTCGCTAGCCCAAGCCGCAGCCCCACCCCTCGCCCCCACCCCCACCCCCTTGCCTGTGTCTACAACCCCACGGCCTTTGGTTGGGCACCATCTTGACAACGGGCGGAAGCCTTCAGGCAAGCGGCCAGAAGCAGATTGATGATTGGTTCAGGGTAGGGTCGGGACTGAAATCTGTGAAACAATTGGAGGATGAGATGACACAGGGCGGTACTTACCAGTCATCTATTTCTGCGGTGAGGCGGGGTCGGAAGTACCGACCCCGCCCTGACGCCACCGAACCTCGCGTGCCCTACACTCGCCCTGCCAGGGTTGGAGCGATCTTGAAGATGACCAGTTGTAGTGTATTTATCTGAAAAGTGACTCTTCCTTGAACCCCATTTTCTGGTCTCTGGAGCTCTGTGCGGAGAGCGCTGAAGTTAGGCTCAATAAATGACAGGAATTCCAGTCGCAACCCTCACAATTCATTCCTCTCTTTTGTAGAAACCCTGAGGATGGTTTTTTGTAGAGATCCCTGGAGTCTTGACTAGGGAGGTTTACAGTGACTAGTTCCTATTAACGCTTCCAGTCATCTAACCTCAGTCCCTCCTGCTGCACTTTCTGTCCCTTTCTCCTCCTCCAGCAACCACGCCCTTCGTGAATCAGCTTCTTGCACCAGCAGATGAGCCCTTTAAAGGGATTGCATCAGGCTGGTGACTCACTGGGGCCCTCCGAGAGCCTGGCTTCACTCCCCTGGCATGTAGAAGCAGCTAGAAGGACTCAGTGGCAGCAGGATCCGCAGCCACAGTTCCATTCCTTTGTCTCAGAGGTGTGAGCCAGGGTACCTGCCGCATATGACTCCCTAACTCCTGGGTACCTTTCCAGCTGTCCTCTGGGTCATTCTGTATCTTTGTGTGAGCATGTGTATCTAACACTGTGTGCGCTGCTGCATTTTCCTAGGGCATATGGCCAAACACTTACGTGTCTGTGCATTTGTCATTGCCACAAAGGCAGTGCCACGACACGAGAACTGGTGTGAGCGAGGTCTGGTGGCCTCTGCCTTTGTCCATTTGTCTCTCTGAATGCCTGGTAATCACTGAGATGCTCAGGCTGAATAACAGTAATCAAAACCGCTCCTGCTGTTGTACTAGACACTGTGTAGAGCACTTTAGAGACATTGGCATCTCCAGGTTGAGTCTATTTATAGATAAGGAAGCTAGAGCTCAGAGACAGAAAGTAACCTGTCCAAAAACACACAGTTAATGGCAGGGCAATGATTTGAACTAAGTCTGGTAGATTCTAAAGAGCTTGGATGTGAAGCCTCACTGCATCACTTATAACCTGGCTGACACTGTGCAAGTTCCCTAATCTTCCCAGTCTGTCAAAACAGAGATGATACATCATACCATGTGGTCCTTATGGGGATTCAGTGACTTATGGAAACAGTTTCTCATGGTACCTGATGAGCGTTCATACTCTTTTCAGTTACAGAGTTTAAATGAGGTAGATGACCAGAAGATAGGCAGAAAGAAACCATGCCCCACCCAGCCCATCACACTCCTCTCTCTGACAAAGGGAACAGCCTAGGGATTCCGGAAGCACTGCCTGGGATGGGAATGAGTTTCGGGTTTTCCAGAGCTCTAATTATCAACTAGATGAATCACTTGGGGCTGACACTACCATCCCCACCCCCCAGGAGACTCTAAGCTGATTCAAAATATAGGATTTGAACAAAGGAGAGGAGGAGGAAGAGAAAGAGAAAGAGAGGAGAAGATGGAATGCACAGAAACTAAAGGCACCAGCCAGAGGAAATGAGAAGCTGTCATCAGAATACCAACATGGGGAAACTGCTGAGATGCACACATACATAAGCATGGTGACATACTCTCCCGCTGGCTCTCCAACTTTGGGCATACTGGCAGACGGTGCTGCCATAACAAAGTGACGCCTGTCACAACAGCACAAGATGGTTGCTTAAGGAGATATAGGCAAATCTGCCCATCACAGAAGGAGAGGGAGAGACCTTCCACCCCCAGAGTCTTCCTCAGGCCTCTGATTCCACCAAGCTCTACTTACTGTGGCATCTGGGTTCTCTGTGACCAGGCCCCAACAGCTGGCTATGGTTAAGTGTTGGGTGTCAGGTCCATACCCTGTGGCTGGGTACCACCACTGAGGTAAGCAGGCACGTCCTCTTTCTTACTGTCATCAGTATGATGTTAAGAGTGCTAGGAGGCACAGGAGTAGAGTGTAGTCGTTAAGATCATGAAATCTAGAGTCTCACAGATCTGAATTTGAATCTTCTCTCCATGACCTTGAGCGGGTCGCTTAACCTCTGAGTCTGGTTTGCTCATCTGTAAAATGAGGTTGTTAATCATACCTCCAGGCTGTTACAATGATGACATGTGATTATTCCTTCATTCTACAAGATGTATGTCGTGCCCGCTATGTACAGAGCACTGAGGTACATGCCGGTGGTTCAGTGATACCAACACAGAGGCAGCTCTGCCCTTGGGAAGCAGGTAAGACCCCCTAGTACAGGGCCTGGCTCATAATAATTCAACAATCAGTCACTATTTTGATGACCACCCGGACACCTGGCAACTGACTTAATTATAGGGCCTGGGGAGAGCCCCCTTCTTTCAAATGTAAAATTACAAGGTTGGATCAGCGTAGAAGCCCTGAAGAAGGGTTTCCTCAATCTGGAGATCCCTGAGGTCTTCGTTAGAGATGTTTAGAGTGAAAACTTTCCGTGAACTCTTCCTGTCATCCACCTCAGTCCCTCCTGCTGCGGTTTCTATCACTTTCTCCTCCTCCTGGAAACCACACCCTCATGAATAGCATTGGAGGGGTCACGTGGGAACTCAGCAGCCATCTTTGTGGACTGATGACCTTATCACCTTCAAAGCTTATTGGGGTTTTCCTCCATTCGAATCTCATATTTGGTAAGATTTTGTCTCCTCTACAACCTAAGCAGTCCTGGTGTAGTAGTGGGTTAAGCATTGGTCTGCTAACCCAAAGGTTGGCCTTTCAAGCCAATCAGCTGTTCCACAGGAGAAAAGTGAAGCTGGGAGGTAGATTTAGTCTTTGAAGTCCTAAAGACGAGTTCTACTCTGCCCTATGAGTTGGAATTGACTGAACAGCAGAGAATTTGATACAATCTACATCAAGTCATTTCTTCCTTTTTTGCTTATTGTTGTCAAGTTGGCACCAATATAGCGACAATGAAACACTACCCGGGCCTGTGCCAACCTGACAATTGTTACTGTTGAGCCCATTGCTGTGGCCACTGTTATCAGTCCATTCACTGGGGGTGGGGGTGGAGGTGGAGTGAGGGTCTTCCTCTCTTCTGTTGACATTCTACCAAACATGATTTCCTTCTCCAGGAACTGGCCTCTCCTGATAACATGTCCAAAGTACAAGAGACAAGGTCTTACCATCCTGGGTTCTAAGGAGCACTCTGGCTGTACTTCTCCCAGCACAAATATGTTTGTTCTACTGGCAGTCCAAGGTACTTTTATTTTTATTTTCCTCCAACACCATAACTCAAATGCATCAATGCTTCTGTGGTCTTCCTTATTCATTGTCCAATTTTCACATGCATATGAGGCTAGTGAAAATACCATGGCTTGGGTCAGGCACACCTTAGTCCTCAAACTAGTATCTTTGCTCTTGAACACTTAAAACAAAAGGTTTTTTACAGATTTGCCTTTTTGTTTATGACAGCCTTTTTATTATAGCCAGCAGGAGTGTGTAACCACCAGAGAGTTGATATAATCCCAGCCCACAGTGGCCTGATACACCAGCTTGATCACATCCTGGATGCTGTTTCTCTGGGTCTTTCTGGAATATTTATAAGAATTTAGGAACTTAGGGACCTCGCAGTTCAAATGACTTTGCAGTCCAGTGCGTTAACCTACAGCGCCACACTAGGACTCCACCATGTCAAGGAGTAGCACAAAGTTCAAATTCCAGTGGATGGGCCGAACATGTTGAAAAGTGTCTTTATTCTTTTCTTGGGTGTCTCTGCTCTTCCCTTACGCAGATGGTTAGGCTACTTTGCTCTTAGTGACTTCAGGAAAGATGACCAAATAGAGTCCATTTTTAGCTTCTAAAAGCCTAGCCTTCAGGGAGGAATGGAAAGAACTCCTATGTAGATGGGGATTTGGGAGACTGCAACTTGGGAGGCAGCTCTGAGAGAAGCTTCTCCTCAGGCTCCAAGCTGAGCTGGGTGGAGTGCCAGGGAGGTAACCAGACCCTTAGAAGATACAGCTGTGTGCTGTACTCGGGCAAACAGGCGCTACCTAACCTAATCAACAAGTTGCTGGAGAGATGACGCTGACTTGTGGCGACCCATGTGTGTCAGAGTATGATGGAGCATCCACAAGTTTCTGGGAAAATGGAATGGAAAGATAATGGAATTTCCCACAGACTTTCTGAAGTCCCTTGGTATAACGGTGCTCCATAGACATTACTACAAGAGAGCTGCAACAGAGATTAGGGTTCTTATCCCCATAACCCTTAAGGACCCAGTGAGTCTTGGAATTGAGTCTGAGTCCTTGCTGTTGCCTGAGTTCCTAGATCTCAAGCCAGGGGTCAAGAATACCCCAACGTCTCCAGCTTAGTAAACAGAAATAAGACGAACAAGCCTTCTTTCTCCCTAGGAGGTCTAAAGAAAACAAACAAACCACTTTCCCACCTCACCAAACTGAAGTACTCTGTAAGAATTTTTAAACTTTGCTGCATATCAAGAATCACCCAGGGAGTTTTCTTAAACCCCAATACTGCAGCCACACCCCACAGCAATTCAATCACTTTCAGAAGGAAGCAATCCCTACACAGAAGAAACACCTGGGGATCTTGTTCAAATGAATTCCGAGTCAATGCTATCTGAGGGTGGGGGTAAGGCCAATTCTTAGTAGGGGGTCAAAGTGGACTGGTTCTGAGCCTTAGACCCAAGCTCAGTTTCTTTGAATGCTCCCCAGGTACTTCCCATGTTCACCTGCATTTGAGAACCAGTGTCCTACTACCCAGGAAAGGCAGGGAGCCCCCCACACAGCAGGGAAGACGCCAATCATGGACTTACATGGTTTTATGAGAACATACACAGCTGTAAGAGAAAAAAAGGCACAGTTATGGATGGCTCAGGCGGAATACATTTAAGAATCCTTGCCAATAGAGGATGGAAATAAAAAATGATTTGGTAGTTTTCCTCAATCAGTAAATCAGGAATTCAGATGCAAATGATTAAAAGAGGGGATTGTCACTTATCCCAAGGCCACAAAGAGATAATAAATACACTCTGGGGTCACAGCGTGAGTCTAGGAGATAGGACTCTAAAAGGCAGCTGTGACAGGAGGTATCTGTCTGACACCAGTCTCTGGGCTGGCCCCGTGCCCTTCTCCAACTCAGGCCAGGGAGGACTGGCAAGGCGTTGGCTCTGCTGGAGGAACCTGAGTGGGGGATGGGATGCCTGAGGGCCAGCCTCACTTAGAGCATTTGGAGAATTCCTGCCGCCCCTGGCCACCGAAGTTGCGCACCCGATGGATGATCTGCAGCTGCTGCTCGATGGTGGCGGTGATGTTCACGTCATCTGGGATGTGGACGTAGCGGACGTTGCGGCCTGTCACAAAGAGGTCATCCAGCTCAACCTGATGCCCCCAACGGTCCGTGTAGGTGACGTTGGCTAGGCGGATGTTCATGAATGCGTCAACGTTGTCTATGCGTCCGCGGGCAACGCTCTCATCCCGCAGGTCCACAGTGGTTACCTGGCCCTGAAGGCCCTGCAGCAGGATGATAAGGCTGTTCTCAGAGATGGTTCGCTCCTTCACAGAGTGGCTGAACGCCATGCTCCTGCACCAGCTGACTGCTTGCTGCAGGCAAGAGCACACATTGGAGCAATAGCAGGTTAGGGGGTGTGGCTGCCAACTCATCTACACCAGATTCTAGCACCACAAAATCCCCAGCAAGACCTCCCCAAGTCTGTTTCACCTCCCCAATTTTTGTGTTTATGAAGCACCCTTTGGGAGTCAGATGCATCGTGTGCATATCTCACAGAATCCTCATACCATCGGTAAGTCAATTTAATAAATGAGGAAAATATTATACCCATTTTATAAATGAGTAAAATATGGCTAGGAGAGGGTAAGTAACTTGCCCAACGTCACGCAGCTGATAAGTGGAGGTGTTGGGATTCAAATTCCTGGCTGACTCCAAACCCACACTTGTTCTGAACGAGTACTGAACATTAGAATCACCTGGCCACCACACCCCAGAGATTTGATTCATTTGGTCAAAGGTGGGGCCCAGGTATCTCAGGTATCTTGTTTTGTAAAAGTTCCCCAGGTAACTCTAAGGTGCAGACAAGTGTGAGACCCATTGCTCTAAACAACAGTTTACTTTTCTGCCTTTGCTGCCTCCATAGCACCTGTGAAAAAGCTTGTGGTAAAGGGGAAGATTAAAAAAAAAAAAAAAAAGCAGCAAGTTCAAGTTCACCCTTGGCTGCACCCACCCCTTAGAAGATGGAATCATGGATGCTGCCAATTTTGAACAGTTTCTTTAAGAAAGAATCAAAGTGAATGAGAAAGCTGGTAATCTCCATGGAGAGGTTGTAACCACTGAAAGAAGCAAGAGCAAGATTATTGTAACCTCCGAGGTGCCTTTTTCCAAAAGGTATATGTAATATCACCGAAAAATATCTGAAGAAGAATGATCTATGTGATTGGTTGCATGTAGATGCTAACAGCAAAGAAAGTTATGAATTCTGTCATTTATAGATTAACCAGGACCAAAAAGAGAATTAAAGCTCACTTATCTAGAACATTTTATACAAATTCTTGACTAAAACTTGGGAATCAAAAAAAAAGTTTATAGCCTCGTCACTCCCTGGATGGTGGACTATCAGTTTCAGTGTCACCAGGGTACACAATAGAAATGCAGACTCCCAGGCTTTACCTCTAGTGACACAGAATCTGCATTTGTACCATGATCCCTAGATGAAGCACATGCACATCAGAGTTTGAGGATCCTTGGTTGATACCAATTCTCAAACCTTAGGGAACATCAGAATAATCTGGAGAGCTTTGAAAATGCGAGGCCTTAATCCCAGAGTTTCAGATTCAGTAGGCCTAAGGTGAGCTCCAAGAATGTGCATTTCTAACAAGTTTCCAAGTCCTGTTGATACTGCTGGTCCAGGGCCCACATTCTGGGGACTTCTGGTCTACACCACGCAGTTATCAAAGTAGGAATTTAGGTCATTCATTGAAAATGGCACCATATAATGCCTATCACTAGTCTGTAGTTTGCTATATTGTAATGACTTGTGTGTGGCTGTGATGCTAGAAGCTATGTCACCAGTATGTTAAATACCAACAGGGTAACTTATGGCGCATAGGTTTCAGTAGGACCTTCCAGAATAAGACTAAGGAAAAAGGAGAGGCAGCCCACTTCTGAATGGTTAGTCACTGAAAACCTAATGAATAGCAGTGGAACACTGTCTGATATAGTGCTGGAGGCAGATGAGCCCCTGTTGGAAGGCACTCAAAATATGACTAGGGAAGAGTTGTCACCTTAAATTAGTGTCGCCCTTACTGATGTGGGTGGAACAAAGTTTTTGGGACCTTAGTTTGCTGATGGGTCACAACTCAAAATGGGAAGAAACAGCTGCAAACATTAATAATCAGAACACAGGATGTACAAAGTATGAATCTAGGAAAATTGGGAGCCATCAAAAACGAAATGGAATGCATAAAGATCAATAGCCTAGGCATTAGTAAGTTGAAATGGCTTCACACAGGCCATTTTGAATTTGACAGTCATATAGTTTACTATGCCAGGAACGACAAACTGAAGAATGGTGACGTATTTATCATCAAAAAGAGTTTTCAAGATCTGTCTTGAAGCACAATGCTATCTGTGATAGGATAATATCCATGCCCCTACAAGGAAGACCAGTTACTATTACTATTATTCAAATTGACACACCTATCAGTGAAAGCAGGAATGATGAAATTGAACAAGGGGCCCTGGTAGCCTAGTGGGTTACCTGTTGGGCTGCTAACCGCACAGTCCGCAGTTTGAGTTTCCCAGGCACTCCACAAGAGAAAGATGAGACTGTTTGTCCCCGTAAAGATTTACAGCCTCGGAAACCCTATACAGGGTTGCTATGAGTCAGAATTGACTCCATGGCACACCACCACCAACAACAACAACTTCTTCATTCTGAAATTAATCACACACACAAACAAAATGCATTGATAATTACTCATGAGCGGAAGGCGAATTTTGGAAACAGCGGATCGATCAGTAGTTGGAAAATCTGGCCTTGGTAACAGAACGATGCTGGAGACTGCATGATAGAATTTTGTAAGACTTCTTCATTGCAAATACTTTATTCAACAACAAACAGCGACTGTCTATATATATGGACCTCACCACATGGAATACATAGGAGTCAAACTGACAACATCTGTGGAAAGAGATGGTGGAGCAGCTCAATATCATGAGCCAAAACAAGTGCAGGTGTTGACTGTGGAACAAACCATTGATTGCTCATATGCAAGTTCAGGCAGAAGCTGAAGAAAATTAAAAAACAATTCAGGAGAGTATATCCTATGTAAGGAGCTCTGGTAGCGTAGTGGTTATGGATCGGGCTGCTAACCTCAGGGTCATCAATTCGAAACTACCAGCTGTTCCACGGGAGAAAGATGAGGCTTTCTGCTCCCGGAAAGATTTACAGCCTCGGAAACCCTGTACAGGTACAGAGTTGCTATGAGTCAGAACCGACTCCACGGCACATAACAACAACAACAACCTATCCTATGTGGACTTAGCGATCACCTCAAAACCCGATTTGACTATTAGACATGAATGACAGACGATCAGAGGAGATGTGGGAAGCCATCAAGAACATCACATCATGCATGAGGAAAGCAAAAAGTCATTTAAAAAGACAGGAAAGAAAGAAAAGGCCCAAATGTATGTCAGAAGAGACTCTGAAACTTGTTCTTAAATGTATAAAAGCTAAAGTGACTGGAAGAAATGATGAACTAAAAGAGCTGAACAGAAAATTTCGAAGGGCAGTCTAAGAAGGCAAAGTATTATAATGTAATGTACAAAGGCCTGGAGTCAGAAAGCCAAAAGAAAAGAATAGTCTCAAAGGAAAGGATTGAACAGAAATTTCAAGCCTTGAGTTACAATACTGAAGGATTCTATGGGAAAAATAGAGAATGATGCATGAAGTATCATGAAAGGAACACGGATTCACTGTACCAAAAGGGACTGGTAAATGTTCAGTTATTTTAAGTGGCAGCATATGATCAAGTACCCATGGTGTTGAAGGAAGATGTACACGTTGCATGAAAGCACTGGTGAAAAACAAAGCTTTAGGAATTGACAGAACACAAATTGAAATGTTTCAACAAACTGATACAGCACTGGACACTAATCTATGCCAAGAAATTTGGAAGACAGCTACCTGGCCAACCAACTGGAAGAGAGCTATGTTGTTGTTGTTGTGTGCCGTTGAGTCGGTTCCGACCCATAGCGACCCTGTACAGGGTTTCCAAGGCTGTAAATCTTTACGGGAGCAGAAAGCCTCATCTTTCTCTGGTGGAGCGGCTGGTAGTTTCGAACTGCTGACCTTAAGGTTCGCCGCCCGATTCGTGACCACTATGCTACCAGAGCTCCTTGGAAGAGAGCTATATTTGTGCTCATTTCAAAGAATGGAAGCCATAGAACAGTGATATTTCACACGCATGTAAAATATTGCTGAAGATAATTCAAAAACAGTTGCAGCAGTGCATCAACAGAGAGCTGCCAGAAATTCAAGCAAGGTTCAGAAGATGACATGGAACTAGGGATACCATGGCTGATGTCAAATGGATCTTGGCTGATCAAGCAGATAATACCAGAAAGATGTTTGCTTGTGCTTCATTGACTATGTAAAGCACTCAACTGTGTGAATCATATCAAACTATGGCTAACATTACCAAAAATGGGAATTCCAGAACACTTAATTGTGCTCTCACAGAATTTGTACATAGACCAAGAAGCAATCATTCAAACAGAACGGGATACTGAATGGTTTAAGATCAGGAAATGTGTGCACCAGGGTTGTATCTTTTCACCATACTTACTCCATTTGGCTCTATTCGATAAGCATGGACTGTGAACCACAAGGTCTGAGGTTCCAGTCTGCCAGCCACTCCACAGGGTAAAAATGAGGCTTTCTGCTGCTGCAAAGATTTGAAGCTTTCAATACCCTATACAGGGTTGCTTGAGTTGGAAATGACTCAGTGGCCTTTAGCAACAACAATTCCATCTGTATGGAGTCCTGGCGTGGTACTGTAGGATAAGCACTCGACCGAAAGGGCAAAGCCAGTTTGCACTGCAAAGCTGGCAGTTCAAATCACCAGCCAGTCCTCAAACACTATACAGGGTCACTATGAGTCAAAACTGACTAGAGGACGCTTTTCAACAACAACATTCCATCAGTATGCTGAGCAAAATGAGAAGCCATAGTATATGAAGGATGTGGTATTAGAAGAAGAGTCATTAGCAACCTGTAACGTGCAGATGACACAATCCTGTTTGCTGGAGTTGAAGACTTGAAATACTTACTGATGAAGATCAAAGACTTCAGTATGGATTGCACCTCAAAGTAAAGAAAAAAGAAAATCCTCACAACTGGAGTAATAAATAACATGATAAATGGAGAAAAGATTGAAGTTGTCAAAGACTTCATTTTGCTCATGGAAATCAAAACACATACTGCATTAGGCAAATCTACTGCAAAAAATCTCAAAGTGTTAAAAACCAAAGATGTCACTTTGAGAACTTAAAGTGGGCC